AATTCTCGGTGCTTGGAATGGTGGCGACGACAATGGACTATCTATAGCTTGAGAAGGTCAGTTCCAAACAGAGAGAGGGTACTTATAGGCTTGTCTAACTCTAGACTAGTCCCACCGACATAGAGTTTTTCACTCCTACCTGTTGGATCAACTGCCTTGTTATTATGGATGTCGGGGATGTTTTGTCGAAGGTGGTTGTTAATTAACACGTGTTGGATTGCCAATTTGATGGATATATTTATGGGACCCTTCAGAGGTCTTCCAGCCCTTTGTCTTGTTGTAGGCTTGTATTTGAATTTCATAGGGATCCTTAGGCAAGTATCTTGGCCTTCGTGATGAGATTTGTGGAGTTTGACAAGGATTTTTTGGCCGGTCAGCCGACGTTACGATCTTTCGAACGGCATAACTTTATATATGAACTTCGAACCGAATGAATCAAATGTCCATTTTAGTGATCTCAACAAGGTATTCAAAATGGTATGTAATCAAATATTTAATTTTGATCCTTTGCAAAAAAAAATTATTTTTGATAACTCTCGCACCATTTTAAAATTCTTATTTCTTTATTCATTATTTGCATATCGAGATGTCCAAATGAACCTTCCCCTTATTAGGCCAGAATTGCCCCTCCACTATTCACGGTATTTATGCACCAAGTTGTATATATATATATACCTGCAAAACATAATAGAACACAAAACCCATGGAACTTGTAGATCTAAAAAAAATTCTAGTTATCTCAAATTTCTCCATTCTTTGAAATGGTTGGCCGAAAAAATGGTTTATAACCGTGAAGGCCACCCCACACACAAACTTAGAGGCCCCGTTCGGCTTGCTGAAACTTGACTGAAACTGACTGAAAACACTGTTCTGGCTGAATTGTTGTGAGAGAAAAACATTGTTCCAGCTAAAAAAAAAACCGAACAAGCCAGTTTCTGAGTAAGCCGAATAGGGCCTGTTGCTCATCCTGAGTAAAGGGTTACAATTAAGAACCAAGGACTAAGAAAGAACTATAAGGCAGACATTATGCACAACTACTGAAGATATTAAGCTGGCATAAATCATGTTCCAAAATATTCGTACCGTGGGGTGGGTATGAACCTTGCCTTCAGAGGTTGAAAGATGGAACAGTAGGCCTTGTCAAGCTTCAAGTTCTAGACATGCAGGGCTCAATGAAGTTCATACAAGCGCCTTGCCAAGCCTAGATCGAGTAGGTTTTCTTTCCCTTCGATGGTGACTTCAGGAGGCTGCTTGACATAGACTCCCTTCTTGATTTATGGAAATAGGACGAAGATGAAAGATGGGTGGTTATGGTTGCAAACTCTTGACTCATGCACGTAAGGCAGACGCACTCAGGGGCGTGGCATGCCGTGTGCCGGACGCGCAACAAGGGTTAAAATGTATTTTTCTTGCTTGGATTTCTGAACGTGTGAACACAAATGGGCCCCTTACTGAGTTAGTTTGCCTATTTTTCTTGAAACCAACAAAAAAAATTCATTTCTACGTATGTGCATGTTGTTTAGTTTTTGTTTTTTAATGTTCCATTGGATCTGCGAACATATGTCATTAAAAAAATGGCCGAAGAACTAATATGTTAGTTGAAAGCTATGTAAGGAGAAATAATACCCTATGCTGCAGGTCATTATGTGCCACAACTTGCTGAACTTGTTTATGAGAGGAACAAGGACAAGAAGGGCAAAGCATATATAAACCTCAAGGGGTTCATTGTAAGGATTTGAATAGATTTTACGATGCGAGAATTTCCCTTTTAAATAAGTTATTTCATGGCTACAAATACAGAGCATGCAAATAGGACTCATTCTGGTGGTCCGAATCTTTCAAGATTTCCAATGTGGATTTGACTTTTCCCCCCAAAATTTACAGTGGACACATGAACCATGAAAGAATGGAAACAAGAGTTAGATTCATGTTTTACATTTAAGAAATCAATTCTTTCAGGCACAGTCATAATGAACTTATTGCAGGTTGGCAATCCTGTCACTAACGATTCCTATGATTCGAAAGAGCTAGCTGAGTATGCCTGGAGCCATGCAGTTGTGTCAGATGAAGTATACAGCCGCATCCAAAAGCATTGTGACTTCATGATTTCCAATTTGTCTGGTGATTGCAACGCGGCCATGAACTTCATCGATAGTCAGTACCAAGAGATCGACCCATATAACATCTATGCACCCAAATGCCTTCTAAATCAGAGTTCAGCATCATCTACAAATCATGGAATCTTCGTCAATGATCAGGTAAGGTATCATTTGCATCAATGCGGATAGTTTAGCTAGGCCAATGATCACTCTCAAAATGATGCTCATCTTCAGCATACCATGAGCATGCAGTTCAAGAGAAGCAAACACATTTCCTCTGGCTATGATCCGTGCTACTCATCCCATGCCGAGGACTACTTCAACAAGCAGGAAGTGCAGAAAGCGTTTCATGCGAATGTGGGAAAATGGCATATCTTCAGGTGGATGGCCTCAGTTGTTCACCTGGATGTATAGAAAAGTACAAGTCACTGCATTCTTGTAGAACTAAACTGAAGGAACTGAACTCATCCATCTCTTGTGTAGCAATCCCATCCTGAACTCCTACAATTTCACGGTATCCTCGGTCCTACCCATATACTCTAAGCTCATCAAAGCAGGACTGAGAGTTTGGCTCTACAGGTCTGGTTCTTTTCAAGTGAACCTTCTGCGAAATCTCACAACAAGCTAAGTGTATGCTCAATTGAATTCTTAACGCCCACTAATCATTCTCTCTGAAGCGCATCCTATTATTCGTCGATGCAGCGTTGATGCAGATGGTAAGGTCCCGGTGATCGGCTCCAGATACTGCGTCGAAGGGCTCGGGCTGCCAATCAAGACCCAATGGCAACCCTGGTACCTTGACAAACAGGTCTTATTCTGAGCCAGCAGCTTATCTGGACATCTTTTGCACTGAACATATCAGGAACAAATGATGCTGAAATGAGGGGCAAAATATGTAATGCAGGTTGCTGGCAGGTTTGTGGAGTACTATGGGATGAGCATGGTGACGGTCAGGGGTGCAGGCCACATGGTCCCCCTCAACAAGCCTGCTGAAGCATTGCTGCTGATCAACACATTCCTCCGAGGCGAGCAACTTCCAACACACCGTTGATCAATGCCACGGTGGGATAGTGCAAATCCAATGGTTGTTTGAATTTGGGTTGTCATAATTTGTGGTTGTTTGAAAATTGAAACTAGTCATAAGATCGAACCTATTTATATATTGTGCACAACTGAAATCAATGCCTGGTTCAAAACTTACTGCATTGCACCATGCATACACATGTTTCCCCAACATTATTCGAGATGAACTGGGTGGAGCGTGATCGTATTCTGGAATTGAACCACAACCTTTTTTTTTAATTTAATAAGCACGTATATGTATATGTGGTTGATGTTTGAAATCAAGTGGTGAGTGGCTATGGAAAGAGATCCACACAAGAAACGGCCCAAGGCCCACGTAACTAACCTCTCCCAGTCTCCACGACCACGACAAGGCCTGGCTTGGCAGCCCAGCGTCCGCGAAGCTTTTGGTGATGGCCCGTCAGCACCGGCAGTGAGCCAAGCAGCGGCGACCGAGCTGCCAAATCCGAGACCGAGAACAGGGTAGAAAGTTTTGTCTCTTGTCTGAGTGAGCTCCCTTTTTTCGTAGTGTAGAAAATGGATTTGGCAGTTATAATGCCATTTTGGTTTTCTTGTTCAGGGTACCTTTAATGAAAATGGAGATAGTGAACGGGTTCAAGTTAGGATGGACCTATTTCCTATAAAATTTCAGTTATTTGTTCTTGTACTATGGTGAAGTCTCTGCACATATAGGCATGCAGCTTGTGGCACGACGGCCCAGCACGAAGCCCACATTTTTTGCCCGACATGAACATGGCCCAGCCTGGTGGCGAGCGGGCCAGGGCTGGCACAACCTGGTACATAGGGCCAGGCACACGGGCTGGCTCGACATGGCCCGCAATTTGGTGAGAGACCTGGTGGCAGCCCGGTGACCACCCTGGCCTCCTAAGAGCCCACCAGCCTTCTCCCCCTAACCCTAACTTCCTTTTCCCATTCCACCCCTCCCCGCGCCGCACTCTCTACTTGCGAGCCACGCGAGGCAGCGTCGTAGCGATGCACTCACGCCCCCCTCTCTCTCCTGACGCCGCCAGCCCGCCACCTCCGCGCCTAGCTACGGACGTAGGACGCGGGCGCGCCACCGGCTCCGGTGTCTCCGCCGCCATCGACGGCCACGGCCCTCTCGATCCCACGCCTCTCCATTGCCTCCGTGGCCATCGGCCTGGCTTCCTCCACGGCCTCAAGCACCACTGTCCTCCTCTCTTCCCTAGCTGAAGCAGGCCTCGGGCTGGCTCGAGCTCCTTGGCAAGCCGTGCTTATTGGGCCAGACTAGCCCAAAAATCGGCCCAGCAGGCCATGCCTGGGCCATCAGTCAGGCACGACGACCGGCTCGGCATGGCCCGGGCGGTACGGCGTGCCGTGCTAGCCCGACCCCCTTCAGGCCGTACCGGGCACGGCCTCATGCCGGGCCGGGCCGGCCCGTTGCCCATCTATAAGTCTGTCGTATTATGTTTTAGTTCTGAGAGCTTGACTCTCGCTAAAAAGTTGGCCAAGAATGAAAAAGTGCCCCCAAATTAAGAGGCCGAGCAAATTTTCTAATAAGTTGGCTAACGTGAACACAAATATAGGATATGTTTGGTTTGTGTTTAATTCCTAGCCTGGCTAGCTTTCTGAGCCAGACTAGACTTAGCCAGGTTAGAACAAGCCAACCATCACTTGTTTGATTGGAGTGATTGCTTTAGTTCGGCTAAGTTTTGGTGTGTTTGGTTAGCTAGTTTTGCTTGAATAGAATCACCTCCTTTTTAGAGGTAAGTTACCCTGTTTGAAGCAATCCATCAAACATGTGTGGTGCATCACCGTCGCCATTGGCCTCTGGCCTTGAGCCCGCTGCTGCGTTCAGCCATGGAGAACGGCGAGGGAGGGGGAGGGGAGTACACCAAGGAAGGCTTTGTCGACCTCCGCGGTGACCCCGCCCTTTGCTCCAAGCGTGGTGCTGGACTGCTTGCACCTTCAATCTCCGTGGACAGCTACGGCCTCAGCTCGAATCTTCGAACAGGTGCGTCGGTGCCCGCGGGCGGAGGGAGGCTGTGGAGGAGGCGGCGAGGACGACCATTACCCGGACGGCTACTGCTGCTGTTTCTTCCGGCAGCCGCGGGCGGAGGCGAGGTAGCCGAGGAAGCTGGTGGGTAAGGCGGATGCGAGGGTGGCCATCTCGGCATCATCATTCACCTGCAGCAACCCCGGCGTCGGCCTTCCCCTTGCCATGCACGAGCACGACCTCCACGGCAGCCTCCTTGGTCGCGCCCCGCTCCGTGGCGGCGAACAGGCATGCCGCCGCGCAGCACAGGGAGGTGGAGGTCACCAGCGGCAGGAAGAAGGCCGCGGGTCGCCATGCTTGTGGACCGCTCTGCGAGCAGGGGAGGACGAGCAGGGACCTCCACCGCCGCGTGTCGTCCTCCTTCGCGTCCAGTAGCCGGTACGTGAGGGGACTTTGCCATTTCATCCGTTTCGCACTTTTACCATTCCGCGAGGTGGTTTCGCTTGTTTGGCATTATAAAACTGGTGTAATCGTTGAAATATATTTGGATTAGTTTTAATTCGTGGAAAAAACGCGTTCTTCCACTTCTGCCCTGACTGTTCGTCAAAACGGATCGACCAACAAAACGGATCGGCCCTCTCTCCCGTTACTCCCTCTCCTCCGTCCCCACTCCCCAACGGCATCAGCCGGCATAGGCCTGCCACCACGCCGCTCCCCTCCCGTGCCGGCGCTAGCCTTCCCCCACGCCGCCCCCTCCCCTACCGGCACAGGCCTGGCCCCCACGCCGCTCCCCTCCCGTGTCGGCGCTAGCCTTCCCCCACGCCGCCCCCTCCACGCGGACGCGGGTGGCGCTGCTCAACTTCGACCACGACGAGGTCGAGGAGTGGAAGGCGCGGATGCCGCACACGGACGCCTCCGCGGTGCGTCTGGACCACGTCGGGAGCGACGTCACCTGGGAGCACCTGTACCCGGAGTGGATCGACGAGGAGGAGTTCTACGGCGCGTCGGCGTGCCCGGACCTGCCGGAGCCTACGGTAGCGCCGGAGGAGGAGGCATACGACGTCGTCGCGGTGAAGCTGCCGTGCGGGCGCGCGGCGAGCTGGTCCAAGGACGTGGCGCGGCTGCACCTGCAGCTGGCCGCGGCGCGTCTCGCCGCATGCGGGCGCCACGGCGGTGCTGCGGCGGCGCACGAGCTCGTGGTGAACCGGTGCTTCCCGATGCCGAACCTGTTCAGGTGCCGTGACGAGGTTGCGCGCGACGGCTACGTGTGGCTGTACAGGCCGGACGTGAGCGAGCTCAGCCGGAAGCTGGAGCTCCCCGTGGCGTCCTGCAAGCTGGCCATGCCGTTCAGAGCACTCGGCGAGCCGTACGTGTTGGCGGCGCCGCAGCGCGAGGCGTACGCGACGATCCTGCACTCGGAGCAGCTGTACGCGTGCGGCGCCATCACGGCGGCGCGGAGCATCCGGATGGCCGGGTCCGGGCGGGACATGGTGGCGCTGGTGGACGAGACGATCATCGCGCGGCACCGCGGCGCGCTGGAGGCGGCCGGGTGGAAGGTGCGGACCATCCGGAACCCGCGGGCGTCGCGGGACGCGTACAACGAGTGGAACTACAGCAAGTTCTGGCTGTGGACGCTGACGGAGTAAGAGGGGTAGAAGTGGAAGAACGTGTTTTCTTTTTTTTTCCCACGAATTAAAACTAACCAAAATGTATTTCAGCGGGTTACGCCAGTTTCATAATGGCAAACGGGTGAAACCACTTTACGTGATGGTAAAAGTGCGAAACCAGTTTTCGATGATGGGTGAAATGCCAAAGTCCCGTAGGTGAGGGGCATGGCGGTGACGAGAAAGGAGCACGGGGCTGGCTCTGGCCTGGCTTTAGGAGAACGGCTGATTTGGGCGTTTAATCCTCGCCTGGCTACAGCAGTACGGATGGCCTGCCCTAGCTAGGCTCCAACCCACTTCTAGGCAACTAAACATGCTAAAATTGGCTGCCCAACCAAACACACTCATAAGCTCACTCCATCCCAAAATATGTGATGTTCAGGTTTGTTTCGAGTCAAACTATTTTAAATTTGACTAAATTTATATAAAAAAATTCTAATGTTTAGGATACCAAATAACTATTATTAGATTTATTATGAAATAAATTTTCATATTCTACCTATTCAGTGTCATAAATATTGATGTTTTTTCTATAAAAACTGATCAAACTTGAAATTGTTTGACTTAGGACAAACTTAAAACATCACTTATTTTGGGACAGAGGGAATATCAACTAGAAAGATACCCCATGTGTGGTTATGGGACTTTTTAAAATATAAAGGCGTTGCATATCTGAGTTGGAGATACATGTTCTTGCATTGGCTCTAATAAAGGCAGGTAATGGAAGAATCCAATAAAAACAACTAATAGAAAATGTATGTTCGGTGACCTATCATCAATTAACTGCTAAAATCTGGATAGAAGTGCAGTCTTTTATTGTACAAAACCACATTCTAGTTATGCTATGTATGGGGACATGAACAATATATGAATATGAATGATAAGGAAAATCTAGGGCATAGGCTAGCCAATGCTAAGCGTATTGCTGAGTTCTGTTGTCTCATAAAACAAATATGGTTTGATTGATTTTGTCAACAATGGCCCTGCATACACTTGAACTAATGTGTGCTTCAACTCTAACCCCACTTATGAATGATTGTATCGTTGTTTAGGCAATGCAAAATGGTGGACGATGTTCCCTACTATGATGATCTACCATCTCCCTATGATGAGAAGCGACCATGTGCCTATCCTCGTTGTTCTAAATTTTAACATAATTAAAACTGACAAACCCCCCATATTAAAAAAATCGGTGGCTCTTGAGCATCACTTTCAGGTTGCACAAACAGAGCTGGGATAGAATCATGTTAGTTATAATCATACTGAGGAAAAGTAAGATAATGCCAATTAAAAGTAAAAAAATATTTAAGTTTAAGGATAAATGTAGTTTATTATTGTTAAATATTTGTCATGAGTCATGTATGTTGGTCATTTATGGTTAATCCTTTTTTGCTGTTTTGAAAGACGTCATGTGGTGATTTCGATGGGGGAATCTTGAAATATCGATTATGGATTTTGGACAGTTCTTTGGTATGGCTGAGAACAAAGGAACTTTTTCCCCCTTTGAGGCTCTGTTTGGATTCCATTTTTTCTGTTTCATACGTTTTTTCTATAAAAGCAAACCAATTTCTATGAAATTCTTACATTATTCTCTTGAAATTTCGGTTTCCTACTAGTAGGTCTAATTATGAGAAAAAAATACTCATGTAACTCAGATAGGCCTTGAATCGAATGGCAATGCAATGTAGCCATGCCAACGTGTCGTTTATGGTGTTCTCATTTTCTGTGTTGTGTGTTCTAAAGTGCGCTTGGATTTTCTTTTCCTATCGATGGCTACTCCAGTGCCCGGCAGGTTACTGTAGTCATAGTCAGTGGCCCCTCTCTCTCGATGATGCATGCTCAGCGTGCATGTGAGCATGTCTCGTTTCTGTCATGCTAGGCACGCACAATACAGTAACTTATCAGCATGACTTATTAGCCATGGAATTATGTTTTTCTCTCACAATAAATCAGCTTTAGCTAGCTTATCAGCCGCAGAAACCAGCAGCCGAACAGCTATTATATTTATTCCTTGCCTGCGGCTGATAGCTTATGCTAGCTTAATTAACGGATCTAAGGAGTAGGTGTCGGGTTCATAAACTCAGGGTCTCCGATGGGCCTGCTTCCCAGCAAAAACTCAGCCGAGCAGACGGCATTACAAACAACGCGCGACTCCTACGCCGACCCAGATACTTAACGACAGGCCGGAAGAGCGATCCAGTCTCCGACCGAAAGGCCTGGCCAAGGAGGGGACGACGCTGGCTTCCGACTCCGACCCGCTTCTCCGACCGAAAGGCCTGGCCAAGGAGGGGACAACGCTCGCTTCCGACTCCGACCCGCTTCTCCGACCAGAAGTACACCGAACCTCTGCTTACAGCTCTTTCTCCGACCGGCGCGGTCGGAGCCGACTAGGAACGACCGAACAGGGATGCCCGCTCGGTAAGGACCCAAGAATCAGGCGGAACAGATAAGGCAAAGCGCTCAAGTCAACCGCAATACCGAGGACCATACCCTGCACACCTACAGGACAGTACTGTCAGGCCATGTCAGAAGGGTGCTTTACAACCTTCCAGACATGTCAGAACACGAACAATGTTGTGGGTGTCGACATTTGTCCTACAGTATGGTAGGCGCCGATATTTGCCATACCAGAAGAACACGATGGAGCTTACCACATGCATCTAGGTGTCAACAGTATTTTGGGTGCCGACAAAGCGTCTTGTACCCGATAGCGTGGGCAACAAGACTAGGTAGCACACACGCTCTCTTTCTCTCACACTCTCTCTCACTTGTAAGGCCATCCCCTTCACCTATAAAAGGGGATGCGCTCTCTCCTAACAAGGACGGTCATTCCGACTCCCTCTCTGCTAGCTTTAGATATTCTGAGCACTCGAGCAACTTCACAGCTCTAGGACTCTAAAGCTACACAGAGCATACATTCCAATACTTAGCGCACGTAGGAGCTTCCATCACTCTTGGCCCCTCAGTCCAGAGTCTGACCGGACCTCTAACACCTCCATCTTATTCCCACTCGTTTGTAACCCCACAGCAAACTTCGAGCACCTGGGCTCAGGAATAAAGTCACCGATCGACTGAAAGTGGATGTAGGGCATGTTGCCTGAACCCGTATAAACCCTATGTCATTAAGTGTTAGGCCACATCCGATCACAACGTACGACAAAACTATAAATATTTACGTGTTGGTCACTTTTCGCACCGATAGTTGGCGCCGTCCGTGGGGAAGACGTCGTACGTTCACGCTTTTGGTCATCGGATGGCCCACCTTTTCACCATCTTCGGCATGACGGGCTCAAGCAATACGACTCGCTGGAGTTTCCCACACTCCCACCAATTGGGATGTGGGTTTCTCCCGTCTCCGAGCCATCCCAAACCTTTTTCTTCGGAAGCCTGGACTTCATCGCCGACCAGCTCAGCATGCTTCTCCTTCGCGAGGAGGCACTTGTCCCGGCGCCCGTCGGAGGAGGAGCGCCCTTCGTCAGCTTTGGGCCACCCAGCAACCTTAACGATGAGACACCTGCGCTTCGCTTCGAGCCCATGTTGGGCTCAAACCCCACTATAAGTAACGTACATATTGTTCTTTACTCGCTATTTAATATCTTCCACCGACTCTCCGGAGGGACCCTGTTGTCCCCACCGCAACCGCCATGCGACTGTTTCCCTACGGCCTCGCATCCCCGGTGGACGCGTACGTACGGGGGCTTCGAAAGATGCGGACACTGCCCCCTCTCACATCCGAATTCGTGGGGATGGCAGGCTACGCTCCCGCCTCTTTCCACGACCTCATGGACGACGAAGTTGAAAGCGATGGCTCCAGCATCGGCGACGTCGTGGCACCTAGCCACCCTCTGTCCTGGGAGTGCGCTATGGAGGACGCTCCGGGACAGCCACTGGTGGTAGCGGAGTCCCTACAGACTCACACCCCTCTGGACCCTCGTGCGGACGCCCTCACGCGTGCGCAGGAGCACAACGAGGAGCTACGATAAAGGCAGCAGAGCTAGCTGTCATCTACGCCGGCGCGTTCGGTGCAGCATGCTACGCCACGCGCACGTGACCCGGCGAGCGGTGCCCGGGGTCACGCCCGCCAGGTCCAGCGCAACATCATAGATAGGGGGAACGATCCCCCACAATTCGCTTGGGCTGGCCAGAACATCGCCGCTGCGGCAATGATTCTGTGTGGCCTTCCAGAGCCTGTCGACCCCTTGGGGTAGGCGATCCACTAGAACCTCCGGGCACTGGTGGAAACCGCCGCCGTTCAACAGGCGAAGAGCTCCACGTCGCGACACCGACTCGCGGCCTGTCTACCCACCAGGGGAATGGGGGCGCACCAGTCGAATCGCTCCATCTGCTCACCACTGCAGTCGCCAGGCGTAGAACAGGAGGCCGCAGCTACACCATAGCCTGACCCAGCGCCCGCTCCACACCGACCACCTATGTGCGAATGCCTCGGGCCGAACCGAGATGCTCGTAGCATCATCAACAATCGGCCTCAAGCCCAGCATGATGATGACGTCCATCAAGGGGCGGTGAGGGCAGGCGGCACAGGCCCCGGACGCACCATCAAGGGGAGCGGGGAAACACACCCAGGCATGGTCACCGACCGGACGACCGGAGTCCTAGCCTGGACGGCTCAGGACCTCGGGCCTTTGGCCATCGCATCCAGAGAGCGCCGTTCCCATAACGCTTTCGACCGCCTACCAACGTCTATAAATATACCGGGGAAACGAATCTCGGTATATGGCTCGAAGACTTCTGGCTTGCCTGCCGAACCGGAGGAGTGGATGATGACCACTTCATCATTCAATACCTCCCCATCTGCGTGGGGGAACATGTTCGAGCATGGCTTGAATTCCTCCCACCTGACAGCATCCACGACTGGGTGGATCTCAAGAGGATCTTCATCAGGAATTTTCAGGGGATGTATGTCTGTCCTGGAAATTCCTAGGACCTTAAGAGCTGCCAACAGGAACCCAACGAGTCCCTAC